TTTTTTTTTTTTTTTTTACTTTGTATTCACAAAAAATAATCATTGCTTTTTAGACAACGCGAATGATGTAGAGATAATTAAGAAAGTTATTTTTGACAGTTGAATTTTCAAGTTGTTAATTAATATTGGGAGACATACAACAACACGGAACAACACTTTATTAAATGTAGAATCTCAAAGTACCGTTGCTTTAATCTTCCCACAATTATTATTCACATTGTAGCAATTTCCGCCGTTCTGTTTAGACGGAAGACTACTCTGGGACTTCCTTCAGCAATTGCTAAACGACCCTGGACAACGGTACCAGCATTATATCTCGTGGAAAAGTCGGGAAACCGGCGTCTTCAAGATTGTCGATCCACCTGGTCTAGCGCGACTCTGGGGCATCCAGAAGAATCATCTGTCTATGAATTACGATAAAATGAGCAGAGCTTTACGTTATTACTATCGTGTAAACATACTTAGAAAAGTCCAGGGCGAACGACATTGTTACCAGTGAGTATTGTTGTACTAATTAATTCATTGTTATTATATAATTTTGAAACAACTTCAATAAAAGATAATATTGAAATTTATACTTCCGTTGCCATTATTATAATACAAATGTCACATTTAAAATAATGAAAGTTATTTTCGATTAAAAAAATAAAAGTTTTCAGTGGATTTTTTTGTTTTTTGCAGATTTCTGCGTAACTCGATCGAGTTAAAGAATATTAAGAACATATCATCGCTGCGCCATCAAATGCGAATAAAGTCAGAACCGGAGGAAGATCGAGCTCTCTCCGGAAGTCCAGAAGCAGAGCCGGAAGCGGATATGCCAACAGATCTCTCGATGTCTAGCATGAACCAGCCATCGAGCGAGCAGCAACAACAGCAGCAGCCCCTGTCGCTGCACGACCCACCTGCCAAGTATAGAAGTCACGCGTACAATCTCGTTAAGACCAATCAGGAGCCGGAAGAGAGGAAGTGACGCGGGACCTAGCGATGGTAGGAACGCGCAGTGGTCGTGCGTAATCATTAAATCGCGCTACAGCGAACTGAGATCCGGCGGCAAAATAATCTCTCGACGTAAGAGAGAGATTCCGCATCGACAACCGATCGATGGATTATGGAGTAAGATTGAAGATAAGCATCGACTCCGTCTGGTTCGTCGGTTTGTTGAAGAAGAAAGTGGTATCGTCCGCGCGAAGATATGCGAAGAATTGCAAACAAAAAAAAAAAACGGAATCCGAAAAACTGAACTCGTCGACAATGCTCGAAAGATGCGCTAATAAAGAGGATTAAATCTCGAATTCCGTTATAGTTCAAACAGTAAGATATGGCTCGGGATTTTATGCAATCATTAATAAGGATGCTCGAAACGTAACATAAAACTGCGATCTTGAGCATGTGACTCTAAGAGCAATTATTAGACTCGAAGAAGATAAACAAGCATTCACGTTTATTAATACGCAGACACACATTGACGCTAGGGATGAGGAAATTCTTGAAGAATCAAGAAATTAAATTTTACGTCCCATTCGTGCCCAATGCGTTTGTTGGTGATTCAAAGAATGCAATCATATGAGAGTTCTCTTCATTTTCGTCGTTATATGTAAGAGTGCGATAAGAAGCGTAAGAAGAGAATGTGTTTTACCAGTATCTCAATGGGCAAATCGGATAATGATTCGCCTTCCTCCCTCACATTCGCGTTAAGTTGTTACGCGCCGATAATGACAGACGCTTCGATATGAAGCTGAATCTTCGCGGATATTCCGCCCAACCCCTTTTTCCGCTCCCTTCTTGTAACGAGGCGAACCATCCATACCGGCTAATTTTCTTTCCACTTTTACAACGACGAGATATGAAATGTACAGTTTTGGGTGCACTTAAAGAGCATACATACACACAATGATTCAATGTACAAAGAATGCCAGAACTGTTACCAGGTCTTTCTTTTCTTTCGCGTTTCTCTTTTCTTTCTTCTTTCCTTTCTTCCTTTTTCTTTTTTTTCTCCCTTAATCTTAAGTATATATTCTGTGATGTACGACTTTATTTTTTTTGACAGAACATAGTCCATAAATAAGGTCGATCCCAAAGAGAGACTTCACTTGATTTGAGATATTCAATGTAAATGCATCACAGAAAATTACATTATTGACGTTTCTATGAGGTTATTTCCGGAATACAAGGAGCTTGACAAAATCTTTTCACGACAGTTCAATAATTATACACATCTATGACGTAAAGCAAACCAAGAGAAAGATTTAACCAGATTTTCTCAAGCTCTTACTGTATATACGCCGAAACGGTTCTCCGTTACTTTGACGTATTTGTGCCAAGAACGTTTACCGTTTAATAAGAAAATGTTTTATGTATTTAGTCGACTGTTCCAAAAAAACTCAATATATCATTTGGAACCAATGCTGTATCTCTTGTGCTCGATGTTTGCGTTATATCAAGAAGACACGCCATAATCGAGTATCGTGTAATCGATTATATATTATAAGAAATGTATATAAACTGAACTAATGAATTGTAAATGCGAATGAGAAATAAGATAAATATTAGAAGAGTAGTGCAAGAATTTTATGAAAATTCGGGGCCAGAGTTAGAGTATAAATTTATCTATAGAAAAAAATATACATATATATTTTACTATCAAAATTTATATTCGAAATTTCTATGTTTGTTGCCGGTGTGCAATTGTGGCTTACATTCCACGACTCTTTATCCGAGGTTTGCCTACGATACGAGATAAACCACGAAAGTCCGTAAGAGAGATGGAGAAAACGCGAAAAAACAAGACGCATATACAATTAGGAAACAGATTTAAGAAGATTGCTAATTGTATTTTTGCACTTGAAAATATAAAATTGAGAAAACGAGAGAATTAAAGTGCGAGTGCGTAAAAGAGAGAGAATGAATGAGACGAATGAGAGAATAAATGACACATTGAAATATATCTGGCTTCTTGTATACTGTGATCTCTATACTATATAATGCAGAACGAGTTACATAATTAAATAGGAATCATTATTTGGATAAAACGCGTGTGCTTCTTGCATACATCTAGATAAAGTGTCTGTCTAGAAATTGCGTGATGTTATCAAGAGATGAGATACATGACATACATGTACGTCATACATGTATGTGATGATATATACATCTTTTCTCTTTACAATCGTGTAAATAATTTTCACATGAAAATGTCAGAGAAATGGAAGTGTTTATATATAAATGAATAAATATATATTTATAAATATATTTGTATGCAATATATAAATATATTTATATATATTTTATTCAACACATACATATATATGTATATGTAACAGCATATATGAAGACATAATAGTAATGCGAAACAATGCATATGCTAAGATTGGAGAAGTTTATATATCGTTTCGAGTGTATAAAATATGTAAAATTTTAGAAATTAGAGTTGTTTTATTATATAAGTTGTTATATGAAGAGTACATGAAATAATGAATGTTGTAAATATAGACTTATTTAGTTATTAAGAAGGTACGTATACTATTCTTTCATCTCATCCAAAATACAATCTGCTACGAATAAATTTTTTTTCTGACACTAATCAATATATCTAGCGTGTATCATATGAATTCCAATATCTTCAGTTTTTAATGAAAATAATTGTTGCAATTATCAGTAATTGATTTCGTCAACAACATTATGACTTATTTGACATTAGAAATGTTTAAAAAAATATATTTTACACAGCCATTATCCTTATCTGCAAGACTTACAAATAAAAAAATATATCCATTTCTGCATTTTATTGAAAAATAGACGAGATATATGTATTATTCATATTTATAAAAACTTCTTATTGAAAAAATATTACATCATCTGCTATGATAGATGTACTAGAGACCAAGTTCCCAGATGGGTCCTTATATTCACTGTAAGATATCCTACCATTTATCATCACTCGCTGACCTTTTTTTAAATATTGAGACACAGTTTCCCTTAAATTAGGATTAAAGACGCATACCCTATGCCAATCTGTTCTTTGCATAAAATCAGCTGGAAATAAATAGATTCAATACTATTATTCAAGGATTATTATGTATTCTCAAAACCAGATTTAAGTTGATTATACCTGTTCCATGTTTATAATTTGTATGTGTTGCGATAGAGAATATCACAACTGGATGTTCACTGGTTCCTCGTCTCTGTGGATCTGCCCCAATCCTTCCAAGTAAGGTGACCTGATTAATAGCTATAAAAAGGAAAACTCAATTACAGAACATGAGTTGTGTTATTATTAAGCTATTTTCTTTTGCAATGATTATATATAATAATCTATTTGTTAAATAATTCTCCAATATCATCGTACTTACTTTTTTCTATATTTGTGGTTTCGTTTACTTCTTGTGAAAAAAATCGTACACTATTTAAACAACCGACTAAGTTGCGTGCTTGTGAAGTAACCTGGAAAATAACATAATACAGAATATACATAATAAAACTGAATAATTTTATGTTTTATGTATAAGGACTAATGACAGTGATACTAACCATGCGTAACATTGTGAAAATTTCACTATAACTATTTCGTATCGGTACAATTATAAATTGCACTCAAATACGTAATTCAATAAAGAAATTCATCACACTACCTCGAACCGGCTCTCTTCGGCATAAAACATGCACATCACATGATTGGCAATCGAATAGAAAAAATTTTAGAGTTTTTAATATGGCGCTGACTGTCATCCATAGGTATATTGTATCTATGATACACAACAGCAGAAAATTTGTTGATGGATTTTAGAACGCATCAATCAAATTATAGCATTTCGGAAATTAAATGCACTTTTTTTGCTAATTTTCGATAATTTTTTCTATCGATAAAAGATATTAATATTTTATCGTTTACATAATAATAATTTTTTACAAACTGAAGACTTTTATAAGTTTTTTTATACAAAATTATTTATAATTTGACGACGCATTTATGTATTGTTTATATATTGTTATTGTATAATTTTTGCGCAATTTTAATTTTTCTGTTCTATTAAAATACAAAAAAAAATGATATCGAATATATTTAACAAGTTTATTTAGTATTTTGTATTTAGTATTCGATTTGACTTAGCATCTATCTAATACATCTGGTGAATTCTAAATTAATATAATAAATATAATTTGGAATCCAACAGACATGTTGGATAAAAATAGAAAATTGTAGAAATGCTTGCCACTTTTAGAAATAAGCAGGTATGCAATAGTATCTTTCTCTTTTTCAATTGTTCGGAATTAAACACAGACATAGTATTTTCCTTTATTTCAATGAAACGAAGAAACATGTTTTAAATTAAAACGTGAAAGTTTGTGATTATGCCATCAATTCGTATCCTGTTACTCATCTTCGTCGCGAACACCTCCCCCTGGAACTTTTGGACCACCTGCCCGTTTCGCCATGATAATCTGATCTACTTTAAGGACAGCGCATGCCGCACCAACCGCGTACTTGAGTGCCCATTGCTTCGTCAGATATAAATCTAAAATTCCTGCCTCGATGGTATCAATTAGAGCTGCGCCTTCACCCTGAAATACAATTAACATTACATAGCTAATACTAAAATATGTGATTTCGTGTAATTTGCAGATCTAAAATTTGATTGCGACTCTCATTTTATATGTATATATGTCTCAGTTTGAAAAATTTATTCAGATATTAAGAATTTTCATATTTTGATATAAACAATAACATAAACTATCATCCAAATATCATCCAAAAAAAAATCTATATAACTCAAATGGGATTATCTACAATCTCGTAGACTATATAGTCCATATTCCGTATTTCTTTCTCGTTCCTTCTAAAAATGACTTATAGTCCATCAGAATGCTTATAAATTACTTTTACAGCTACTTTTATCGATGAAAGAGAGTTCAGAATATAGTTTCAAAAAAAGAGATAACGATCGAAATAAACAAAGAATTATTGAATACATTAGAATATAAACGTACATCAATATCAAAACCATGATTTGTTTTTCCTTCCTTGTGTGCTGCGTACAGCTTCGATACAAGTTCGGACGCGCGGACACCACTGCTCTCAGCTAGCGTTTTCGGGAATATCTCCAAGGCGGTAGCAAATTTGCGGGCAGCGTACTGCTCGAGACCAGGTAATGTGTCCGCATACGCCGCCAGCTGTGCAGCGAGCTCGATCTCCGTGGCGCCTGCACCCGGAACAAATCTACCATCTCTTGTAATGCCCTTGAAAGTATTGACACCATCGTCGATCGCACGCTCGATATCGTCCATGTAATTTTCAGTCGAGCCACGTACGAGCACGGTGCTGACACGGCTCTCTTTTCCCTCTAGTTTAAACACTACTATTATGGTATCTCCCAATTCATCTATGTATACCTTATCGGCATATCCCAATTCTTCTTTCGACGGAGGCACCTTTAAAAGAAATTGCCGACTATTGTTACACCTTATTTCAACATAGTAAAAGTTAAATTCGTTAGATTCGATAAAGATGAATAAATTTACCAATTTAGAGAGTGCAGTAGCACCAATGGTCTTACAAAGTCGCCTAATGTCAAATTTGCTCGGGATACGAACGGCCATCAGATTGTACTTATTCATGTAATGCAAGGCCATGCTGCCGAATTTTCCACCAGATACTACTACTTCGGCACCACTATCGGCAATCGCTTTAATCTGATTTTCCAGCAGTGCTTCCTCGCCGCGTGAAAATTTCAATAGTTCGTCGGCTGTTTTAATCAGCACAGTACCCTTGGTCTCGGTCTGAATGATGTCCACGGCACAAGTATAAACTGCGATTTTCGCGAGGGCCTTCTTCGTGACGTCACCTTCCACTTGTCGCTTAAACACCATACCTTGCATTATTTGCGAGTTGTTCAAGCCACCTCCAAGTATCTTGCAAACTCGCACATTATCCACATTAAATGTCGTCTTCTCCGGCAGAATAGAGATACAAGCTTTGGTAACGAGTGAAGCAAGCATATCTTCATTTCCATACTGTTTGCTCATAATAGTACTTCGGATTCCTTTCTTTACTTGTTCCTCATCTCGTACATCTTTTACTTCATGAACAATTAGAGTCGATAAAATCTCAAGTGCTTTATTCAAAACATTCTCGTAGCCTTCAATAATCTCTGAAGTTGTAATTCCCTATAATCAAGAAATCAAAGTATTATCACTACTAATTACATGTAATCTATTAATAGTATTTAATATATATGTAATCTACTAATCATATAAATTATTCTTGGATGAAATTGTTCATATAGAATAAATACAGTTACTAAAATCATAACTGACATTTGCCTCAAAACATGCAAAAATTTGCTGATATATTAGTGAAATATTAAAAATCAATATACCAGACGAAGCAATCCTTCTGCGGCATGAAGGAGTTCCCCAGCAAAGATAATAACAAAATTTGTTCCATCTCCTGCTTCAGCTTCCTGCATTTTTGATGCTAAAACTAACAACTTTGCAGCTGGATGCTCCACTTCTAGTTCATTGACAATCGTCACTGCGTCATTAGTTACAAATAATTTCTCAATATGATTGATGATCATTTTATTCATTCCATTAGGGCCATATGCACTCCTCACAGTATCCGCAAATTGTTTGCAGGCTGTGATGTTCCTATAGACCGCTTCTTCAAGGCCTGAGAAATACTGAAAATGCCAAACAATAAATTCATCAAAATATATTAAACAATCGAATCAAGATTTAAAATGAATAAAATTATATATTTTCCATCTTACTCTGCGCTATAAAGATGAAGCTTATAACAATGATGACTTACATAAATAACCTTAATAAACAATCATATTTTATTCAAGTTTAGTTTTGTAAAACAACATGCATGATATTCTATGCATTGTTTAACGTCGATTCGAATCGGAGATTCTCGCATAGTTCTCGCAAAGTTCTTAAAATATCCATAAAAGGCAAAAACGCGAGCCGACCCCTTCTTCGTGTATCCTGTCCGGCATCGAGCGTTGACCGACGGAGCGGCGACTCATCGTGCGTGCACGCGTTGGTTACGAGACGACACATTACTTACGCGGGCTCCATCCTTGAGCATCTGCGCCACGCCGGGCGCCTTCGGTACATGCATAGCCATCTTCGTCGAAAGTTTCGAAAAATCGTTTCTCTCTACGTGACAACACGTGCCCTCGTCTTGCTCGAAGCGGCGTAGTTGAAATCCGCCCTTGTCAATAGAATGATGTCAGAACGATGTCGTGACGAGAGCGAAGCACCGAAAGCCTATTTCATTTGTCAGACGTGCTGATTGGCTGAGGATTTTCTGGGAAAATTCATCTCAAAGCGACCTCGTCGCAATGCGATTGGTTCGTAAGTCTTGAATCTACAATAGATAACCGAACCAAATTATAGATCAATATTTATAATTAATTCTTATATATTTAATCATCTTAAATATAGTTTTAAAATGTCATAAGCCAGTCAGCTGTATTAAGACACTATTTAGCTTGTAATAAGCTTGTAATAAGCTTGTAATAAGAATTGACTATGAATACCGACCATACTGGTCATATTATGCTAAGCTCGGTAAATGTTTAGTATAGGTCCTCCATCTCCGATTTTGATAAAAATAAGCACATGGTCACACGACAATATTAATCAAAGAAGGTTTCCAAATAATAATCAATGTTATTTCTAATAATTATAAAAATTTGCAACCATTTATTATTATAAAAATACATGGATAAATAGGTTTAAACCATTATATTCGTCCCGAATGTACCGAGTCTTCATTTCTACCGGAATTTTATCCGAAACTTGGAGCTTTCTGCTCCCGAATTCGTTCATCTTTGAACGATCGACACGACATTGGAGTACTTTTACTCCCCGAATTTGTTCATTCCGAACAATCCACAAATGACATACAAATCGGACCTGTATGAAGATAGCCCCCCAACATTGAAAAACATAAAGTTTCTATAGCTCGAAATTTGTTTTGTTAATAACTTTTTTACTAGAAGTGTGCAAACGAAAATTTGAAATGTGCATACATGTGCAAACGATGAGGAATCGAATGAGCTATAGAAACTTTGTTTTTCAATGTTGGGGGGCTATCTTCACACAGGTACAAATCGGTCGTCTATTTCTTAAAATATGGATTACAGACTCCTCTCTAATATTGCGCGGAGCGACTGAAACGGGACTTATCCTAAGTTCGTATGCAGGAGTGCATTCAGAAATAACACTCGAGTGAACCCAATATCATTTTATATTTGTTTAACATTCAATAAACAACAAAAAGAAAATAATATAGCTAATATTTCTGAACCAACTTTACATTCATTCTAGTCGGTATATATTTTAGTATACACAATCCGCTTGTATTTTGAAAAGCAGTGTTGAGCATCAACATGAAAAAGCACCTTTATATTATCGTTTCTCGTTTTCACTTTCATGTGGATTGCAATTTTATAAGGCAGCTACGAAGAATTAAGTTCGCCGTCTATCTCATGTTTGTATCCAACAGTTTATGGTTAAATGACAGAGAACGTTTCCTCTGATAGAAGTCCATTGTGAACACATTCAACGTCACGCGAGAACGAATCGTCGGGATACGTGCCAGAAAATGCAAGTAATCGGGTCGTCGCGTTAAGAAAAGTGAGTGTCCGTCCGTCCCGCGTGATAGACGCGGGACTTTCGACAAAGAAAGTATCATTCGGGTCGAATCAAGTCGTGCGAGGCGTATTAGATTTGAGCGATTGATTTTTGGTGTCGCATACCGAACGCCGTGTCGCTCCGATTCTTCCGAGTCAGACGCGAGTTGTAACAAACGGTAATCGTGAGCAGACGTGTTTGTACGTGCGGGAAAAAACTGACGTATCCAAATTTCATCGTTTTAAGTAATACAAGTTTTGTGACGTCAACAGGAGATTGATACTAGCGGGAGAAAGAGAGAGAAAAAGAAAGGAATTTCGTGCGCGACGTACGCCAGATGCAGCAAGTTTCACGGAGAGGGACGGGGGGGGAAGAGAGAGTGAAAGAGGGAAAGAGAGAATAAGTGAGCGAGCAATTGAGTGAGTGAGTGAGAGAAAAATGTGTGTGAGAGAGAGAGAGAGAAAGAAAGAAAGAAAGAGAATGGGAACGGAAGAGAGGTGCCGCTGACCTTTGCTTTTAATAAAATGAAGCAAAGGAGAGCTACGCGGCAAGCTACCGAACGAGGTGCGTTGACGCGCACGCGCTTTATATCAAATACATACATCGGCTCTCTCTCTTTCTCTCTCTCTCTCTCTCTCTTTCTTCTTTTACAAACGAACGAGTATTCTCTCTACGAAATATCTCGCCGCGACAGGAGTATTTCGTCGCAGTCCGGTTAACCCGGGTAACCGCCCTCTCGCGAGGCTCGAGCAGTGTCGCCTCGGCGGTACGCGTATCATCCGCGTTGTTTCGAAGCTCGCGCAAGGGCTTCGACGTATGCAGTACTGTGTGGTACCATTCGAGCGCTCTTGAAATGCCGCGTTAAAGAAAAAAAGAAAAAAAAAAAAAAGTGATCCGGTGTTCCGCTAACACATCATCCATAGAAGAGGTAAAAGTAGAAAAGCGCGTCGCGAGTGACGACGAATCAACCGGCGATGTGTCCTGCCGTCTGCCGCCGTCTGACAAGCAGCGCGTGTCACGAAGGCGATGCCTGCCGCGAAGATGACATTCGTTCACGTGATACGGGCCGAGTCCGATCGATCATCGATCGGCTAAATGTTGATGCTAAATTGGGCACGAGACGTGCCCACTCTCATCGTCACCGCAAGTGGCACCGCCGACACAGCACACACGCGTCACGACGCGTTATTCGGGATGAACGCCGTGCAGCCGTGCGACGCGTACGAGATCGCAATCGTGATCGCGATCGCGATCACTTGTATTGCGACGCTCGGTTTCCGCGACTCCGTGGCCCCGGGGCTATTGGCGATCACGCATACGCGCGCGATAATCTTGAGCTTCCCGGGGAGCTCTCCGACCGCAATTTGACTCGCGTGCGGAACGTCCGCGGCACGCATGGATCTCATGGACACGCGGTGAGTGACACCAATGGTAAGGCATCGCATACCGGTGATGTGCGCTTTACAACGAAGACGTATCACGCACATATATTTGTGGACTGTCGCAAAAAATCGGATTCACGTGAGAAAAAAAGCCCCAAAAAATGCTCTTTAAAGAATGCTAACTTTAACGTCTCTCGACTTAATGACGTTTGTATCAGATTTGTGACATACAGAATTTTTCACTTAGGCCAGTCAATTCTAAGGACGAGTACTTCTGATACTTCCAATGGTCTTTTGGCACATTTGCAGCAGTGTGTGGAGCATTCTTATGGGTGCAGCATATTGTCTGTAGAGGAATAATATTATTCATACCTGTATTACTATATCTGATCGGATTGATAAAATACTTTTTGCTGTACCGTTGTCTTCCATCTTACGTTTTTACTATAAAGTAAGTAATTTTATATATTATTTTATATATTTTGAATTTGTAATTTTATATATTTATCAATTTTATGTTTACATACATTTAACTAATAAGCTGTATTTACATATTTTAATTTACTATTATATATTCTGTGATAATACAATGAAATAAAAATCAAATTCTTATTTATAGAAATGTCATCTCGAGATTATGATAGAAGAAGAGGTGGTAGTGGCAGCAATTCAAGCAGGTTGCGAATGGATGCAAGTGTATCACAATCTAGGCCACATAGCGAGAGTTCTAGCAAACGAAAAGAAATAGACAATGTAATGAGAAAAGCACGTGAGTCGCAATCGAGTTATTGGAATAAAAAGTTATTGGAAGCAGAGGAACGAGATCCAAACAGATGGCGTCACAGCGGATACAAGGAACTATACGTTGGCAGTGGTAGCGAACTTAGAGGACATCCTAAAAGTCCAAGAAGTCCAAGACCTCGCAGTCCCCATAGTCCACGACCACGCAGTCCCCGTACAAGAAGTCCACGGTCACCGCGCGAACGTTCTTCCCGTGAGCATAATAAAAGCAGACCAACCGCTCGTAGCTCTAGCACGGGCAGTACATGTTCTGATAGATCATGTTCTGTTTGTTCACCAAAAGAACGACGACGCGTTGTACCGCCATCACGCTCACATTCGAGATCGATTAGCCCTATACGCACTAGGACACATCCTAAAGAAGTAATCGCGTCTAGTTCCCGAGCCTTACAGCCGCGCACAAGACCACGATCACCGCCTCTACCACGCCCGCGTACACCACCGCCAGCGCCACAGCCGCCATCACGTCATCAAAAAGATCATAAAATCCTCAAAGACAAAGAAGCCAAAATCCGCCGTAAAGAGAAACATCACAGCAGATTGCCAGAGGACCCGCGAGTACCAGATACAATCTCATTGGTAATATAACTATTTATGTTTAGAGTCTGCCCTTATTCTCTTATGTTTATTCCACAGAAAGAATTGTAATAATTAATAAAATACAGAGAAAGATTTCTCTTTAATAAGTGCTGCTTTTATGTTTATATAAAACATTATTATGAAGCTTACATTTTTTCTTTACACACAAACATAAGATATCACAAAATATAAAATATTAAGATCGGTAGTTTCTCAGATACTATGTTTAAAATCATGTTTTTCTTAAAATTAAATATGAGTTTTATGTGTATACTTTTATTAAAATTTTGCAGATACGTAAACCAGTAAAAGTAGAAAAAACACATACGAGTCATGGAACACAAATAATACGGCCTCCACCAGAATCTTCACCTAGCGATGATAGCGACAGTTCTTCAACTACATCCCATATTGGGCCACCAAAAATGACATTATCTGAGCGGTATTAGAAAACTATTCATAATTGCAACAATAAAACTCAAAAATAATTTTGTAATATTTGGTTATTTTAAATATAATTTCTCTATTAATAAATAATGATAAATATATTTTCATAGATTTGGTAAAATGGCGCAATGGAGCGTGGATCGTAGAGATATGGAAAATATGCGTATCACGAAAGACGGTGAAAATGCAATGAAAGTTGTTATAGAAGGCGAGGAGAGAATTGCACGTTTAGGCTATGATTCTCCTCCTCCTGGGCATTATCCAGAATCGCTTTTGGCACAAGGACCAAGAGGTTTTGAATGCTGGGATGATGTACGCGTTCGATATGATTATTACAAAGCTAGGGGATACCTTCGCGATCTCACCCTTGATGATTATATCAAATGGGAAGAATGGTGGTATAAGTATCAAGAATGGCTTGAAGCTGAACGCTTTTATGAGCAGTGGGCCTCATCGAATCGTCCGTCTGGTGGAAGTCGTAAGAGACGAGGACGACGCAACAACACTACTCATTAAGATACATAACACAAGTTTCTGTTATTATTTTTGCTCGATTTATTGATAAGATATGCAGTGACATCTGTATGCTTAGAGTATACAATAAGTATGTACGTATATAAGCGCTCTATATGTATCGTAATAAAAAGTATGATTGTGCAAAAGAAAATCATGGTTTGAAAAATATACTCAACGATTTCTTAGGTTATATGTCTTACACTTTTCATACTGCCTTCAATCATATCTGAATATTTAAAAAATTGTGATACTTTATATTACTTATCGGTAATATTGCACTGAGAACGGAGGTAATAACGTGATTATTGTACTGGAACTGTTCATAAAAATAAATCTAAAGCATTTCAAAAAAAATTAGACAACTCTAAACTTTAATTTTGGCTAATGTGTAATAAGCTGATAACTGTTCGATGAAATATAATATTTACGTCACGCGATACACATTACGTAACATAAATATAGTCGTGATATGTTTAAATATTTCAACAAAATTTTTTTTTTAATTTATTTTCTCCAAGAAACATGTACACTATCCGTTCGATACCTTTGAACGCAAGTAATTTGCGTCCAAGGAGTATTACCCTTGGATTTGTATTGAAGTAATCCTGCTACCGCGATCATAACACCATTATCTATACAGAATCGCTCATCCGTCGCGTAAAGAGTCGCGTTTCTTTCTTTGCACATAACATTCATCATTTCCTGTAATCTCTCATTGCATCCCACACCACCAACGATCAATACTTCATTTGATCCTACATGTGCCATTGCGCGCTCTATAATAAAACAAATGAAAATAAGACAAGAAGACAACGAAGAATCTATCTACTTAAGTTACCTGTAATCTCGATGAGCATGGCAAATACAGTTTCTTGTAAAGAAAAGCATAAATCTTCAGAAGAATACTCTTTTGTATTAAGCCATTTGGGAAAATGTTCCTCTATATAACTTAAAATACCAGAAAATGATACATCCATCCCCTTAACAACATATGGTAGTAAAGCCAGCTTTTCACCTCTTTTTCATAAAATTTTAATCAAATTTAACATGAAATCAATAAACATAACTTTAAAATTAATCTTTATAGAAATGTACTAAATAAAAAAATTTACTTGCTTTTTTGCTAATTGCTCTATATTGTATCCAGGACTTGGATCATTTGAGAGTTTTAATAGCCTTGCAAATCTATCCAAACAATTTCCAACTGCTATATCAATTGTCTCACCGAAAATGCGATACCTTTGTCGAGTATATGCAATGATTTGAGTATTCCCACCAGAAACATACAAAATAGTAGGATTTTCACTACCAGTGATTAAACGTCCCATCTCGATATGACCAATACAATGATTGACTGCAACCATAGGTTTATTGTACAATTGAGCAATAGTTCTAGCTACTAAGGCAACAATTGTTAAGGGTGCTCCCATTCCTGGTCCTTTTGTATAACAAATGACATCTATATCTTTCAGGCTAACCTTTGCATCATTTAAGGCTTGTTGCAAAACATTCAATATATGTTTTCTATGATGTTGTGCTGTTTCTCTAGGCAGGAAACCTAATATAAAAACATATATAACATCTATATTGTATAAAATATTAATATATATACATATATACATATGTCTATATACACATATCACACATTATTTATTGAGTGAGTGGATATGGTGTGTATGCGCATGTATACCACACACACACACACACACACACACACACACACACACACACACACACACACACACATCTGTGTATGTATAAAATATTTTATATATACTTTGAGGTTACCTTCTCCTGGTGGAGTAACATAAGTATGTCGTACATTCGATAATACGTGCTGATCCTGAATTATTCCTATGCCCAATTTATTTGCACTTCCTTCAAATCCGATGGCAATCACCATTTTTTATTTGTTTGCTATTTTGAAAATTAAATAACGATGGATCAAATATTTTGTAATCTATTAAAAGACGGCAGTATGACAGACGATTTCTCATATTAGGTTTGTTCGTTTTACTTACACTTGTTGTACTTATATTTTAATAAGTTTTTTTAGAATTGTTATGTTCTGGAACTTTCTCTCCAAAAAAAATTTTACTTGATATAATATAGTATGTTTTACGTGTATTATAAATTTCGAGTAAAATTTTTCTCGAAAGGATATTTTGAAATGTAATCTAGAAAGTGTAATGAACGGATTTAGGAATAAAGGGGTAAAACTCAGGGAATCGATCGTGTATTTTAAAAACAAGGTGAAAATTACAAAAATGAGGAAATTCACTAAAAAGTATCTACAATTTCAATGTCGAAAGCTAGTAAATTTCCTCACTTTCGTAGTTTTTATCTCGCTTCGAGATGCACAATCGAGAGAATTTTTGAAGTAGAAAGTGAACATCAACAATTCACGCATACATATCAGTAATCTTTAATAATATTTCATATTTGATGTCCAATGTAAAAATCAATTATTGGCATATAAATATACTCGACTTTTGAGTTTCGCGCTAACTGAAGAATGGCACCATGGTAGACGTTGTATAGTAAATATGTCAGATGGCGTCGCGTCTGCGATCGCGCAAGCTTTCGTAATGCATGTATTGCGCATGTTTCATCGACTAAACGCGGTGAATGCTCCATGTCTATACTGCCGTGCAGTGGGGTATACGTGGTGGAGAGCTGTTCTGTGCGCGTTACGCGGAAGTTTCGGCATTCGCGATGTATAACTGCTCAGCGATACCTGTTGCACATTCCAATACGGACCGGTTCATCTCGCTCATTCACCACCGTTTCTCCTAAGTGAAATTATCCGTCGCTTCGGCGAGACGGCGAGATTTAAAGGATGCATCAACGCATTCACGCCCGTTGTTGACGTTTCTTCGTAATGCGCATGTGATGATACGCCGCTATACGCTTGTGATATTTGGTGTGTGTGCGCGCGCGCGTGTGTGTATGTGTACATGATGTGTGTGCGTATCGATATGTAGCGTACCTCGCGCGTGTTGCGTGCGCGCATATGTGTGTGTCATTGTGATCACATCTCTCATCTCTCATCGCGCCATGCTGCGTCGGGCGATCTAACAGCGGCGCGAGTCGAGGCATTTCTCAAAAATTTCCGTTCGCGATATTCATCGGCGCGACAAGTGCAAAGGAGGAGATATGGGTCTCATACAGAGCCGCAGCGATGAGAATGATGGTGTACGCGAAATTTTCGTGGGTAATGTCAAGGCCAGTGTACCTCATCACTCGTGTCAATCCAACTTGGGCATGGGTAGCCTGGGCGGACCTCACACGCGTAGCGGAAGCATGCGTAGCGTACCAAGACAACCGATGCCGGACGCCGTCGAGCTCGAGAGGCGCTTTACCAAAGTACTGGTGAGTATAAGTGCCACATCACTTTTTCCTTCGTTTCCAATAATCATGGATAGACGATATCAGATCTGTCATAGTCTTGGCGATCATCTTACCAAGATCCAGAGATTTTATTCGGATATTCGGAATGTCGAAATGAAGTTCTTATCCTCGTTTTTTTTATACGTCGTTTATAAATCGTTTATAAAATTTGCGTTTGAAAATTATGCGCTGTTGATATAGAAATCGATCTTATAAAAAAAATTGATTGTTTTGATATTAACTAAACTCTAATATTACATATTATAACGAATATTTATATATGCTACTTATTTTTTATAATAATCGGGAAATATTTGTGTATATGATACATAATATAAATTGAAAATTATTTTATTTTTGTATATAAATAATTACTTTTTATCTTTACTTTTTGTGGTTTAAAATAATTCCTATTTAAATATTAAATTGCACATTTAATGTGCATATTTAACACTGATATACATAATATTTATTGAAATGTAAAAGTGCACAAACATTTCACACAGTTACAAAGTGTCTCATTTCAAGACACAGACAAGTATCTCAAAAAAAATAAGATAACCACATAAAGATAAAAACATTTCCGGGCACTGATAATGTAATTTTTCCTCTAGACAAACATAAAAAGTAAAATTTTTTCTATTATGTCCAATAGTAAAAATTTTTACTTTTTATGTTTCCGTCCTAGGAAAAAAGTTACATGATCAGTATCCAGGCAAAAGTCTTAAGGATATTCATAATTCGTTCTTATTTCAAGATTGAATTATTGAGTAATGTTCTAAGACGCATTGTACGTCGTCTACAATAGAGAAATAAATCTTGAGTCATAAGAAATTGACCAAACATAATCAAGTATTCTTCTGTAAACCGATGATTGGTCAATTTCTTACGGCTTAAGATCTGTTTCTCTATTTTAGACGATGCATTATAGGCTTTCTATAATAAGCTATTAGTAATAGATCAAAAGTCAGAAACTAAGAATTGACCAGATTGAATATAATAAGAATACTCGACTATGATTAGTCAATTCTTATTTTCTGACTTATGATTTATTGTAGAATGGTACTGATTGTTACAATCATAATGATTATTTCTAGCTCCAGTTCCTGTAACTATAGTAATTTAAAAATGTTTTCTTTTGAATGTTATCCTTGAAAATGAGAAATAGAATTCTCGAAATGCTTTGAAGATAAAGCTGCTTTGCAACAGTTTGTTTGTAATCGAACTATTCAAACTTTCGAATAGTTTGATTACAAACGAAACGAAAAGAACTACAAAAACACCAACAAACGTTTCTAAAAAAAAGATTACACAAGCAAATTTATCTGTCTTAACGAAAAATAAAGTTCGTTCTTGGCCATTTATTCAAATTGTAATTTATAACTTATTAAACTGGAACCCTAAATTGTAAATTGCTGATTTCACACCTATTAAAAAATTTAATGCTATTTCTGCTAATTTATTGTTTTATTCTGAATTTGATTAATCCAGACATTAACAAGAAATCGAGTTCAAAATTGAGGGAACCAACTTTATTAAGATGAACACCTTCTAATGAAAGAAATATCTAAGAAATGTCATATAAAAAAAACAAACGCACCAGAATTTATTGTTAATTATTGCTCCATATAGTGCAAAAATATTTCAAAAATTCAATATTTTTGTGAACTATTATTATCTGTAGAGTATTTTACAATCAAATCCAGAAACAAAAATATTGAATTTCTGAAATATTTTTGCGTTTTTTGCGTTAGAGCAACAAATTAGCAACAAATTATTTTATTGTTATTTGATACGCCTATATATTTTATACGATAATGGGCAGCTTAATGACAATTTAAAGAGACACTAAAAGAATTTATTGCTCAGTCGAATTTGATATTAAAATATTCAGAATAACTTTCGAAATATGGCAAAATTCGATTTTGTTATTCGTTTTAGTATCAGAATTAAAAAATTTATCGTAGCATATAATGTTAGAATTCGAATAAAACTAATGGAAATTGTTGTTAAAAGTAATAATATTTATTGTTTTCTTGGGGAAGAGGTCATGCTAGATTCGTGAAGTTAACAAGCTATTTTTAATTTTTTCATATAATGAAGAACTTTTTTAATTTTTGAGGAATTATGAAACTATAGGAGTGCATTGTTTGTTTTTTTTTTTATATTTAAATATCATTAACTTCACAAATCTCCTTGTCATCATATGCAACGACGGAGATCTCAGGTATAACTGACATCATTAACACCATTGACCGGTCAGAATTTGTTTCACATGAGAAGGATAAAGAAAAGCAAGAGAGTAAATCTATGTTCCACGAAATGGCTCATGGCCAAATGGCGTGCACGTGCGAATTGAGCTATTTTTGGACAGAAAATAAAAGAGTATCAGTTGAGGGATACTTGGCTACTACTAATGGCGCTTAAATTTTGGCTGGTTGATCGTGAAATTTCTTAGGCAAATCAGCTGATTTAATTTTTTTTAAAGGAAACTTTATATATTTAAGGGAAACTTATTTATATTAATGACACATATTTTTAATAATAATTTGATGAGAACATTAATTATTTTAGTCTCTTATTTCTTATATTTTATTGATAAAATTATACTTGGATTTAACATATTTTTAGAAAATATTTTAATAATATATTTATGTCAAAGATTTTGAAAGGGATAATAAATGATTTTATAAACACGGTATACAGTATAATAGGAAATGTAATACAATAATTCTTGGCAAAATGTTATTTTAAAAATTTTAATACAATATTATAACAGAAATTTTAAAGCGATATGGAAATTCACTATCTATTTTAACATTTGTATAAGAATATAACTATATAATGTCTACAAATGCATTTGTAAAACAAAATTAAAAATTCTTTAAATATAAAAGATAAAATTAATTATTTTTTATTTCAAAAATGACATGTTGTTCAAGTTATTTCATTGTCATGATAAATATCATCACATGTCTCAATGATTGAAAGATAAAACCCATTTGGAATTGGTGATTCAGATTCAATTTCTAGCTGAGATGATACTTTTCGTGATAAGAATTTTTTGAAGGGGGGATCAAGGGGGTTAATCGAGTTCATAAATTTAATTGTCGATTTATTAAGAGCAATAAATTTAATTATTGTTTTAAGCTGCTGCGTTTTAAATCCATCAAAAGTAATGACACGTATATAGTTTGCAATATAAGCAATTGCTCCGAATTTATAGATATAAATTACCTTAAAATGCCGTTCCTTTAATAGTTTTTAATATTTTATGAAAAAGTTAAGTTCAGTATTCCATAAATATTTTACATAAATTAAATCAAAGATTTACATTTCGGATAAATACAAAAAGTAGCATGGTTGCCATAGATATTACATTTTTTTAAACGATATGTTGAGAGGTTGATAACAAAAGAAAGTAAAAAATGTTAACATCTTCTCAAAATTTTAATAGAAATATATATAAATCATTAGAAAAATCAATTATTCCAATATTCTTTTAAAAAAATTTCTAAAGATCAATTTTTTGCCGTTAAAGTAAGTTGATACCTTAATTTTATAATTTTAGTTTATAATTAATATATTTGCCAAATGCATCTTGTAAATTTTATATTATTTACGAGAGAATCCTCTTCTGTTTCTCTTTCTAGTATCTCTCTTTCTCTTTGCTTCTTCCCCTCTTTTCTCAACAGGAAGAAATGAGCAAAGAAAGAAAAAGGGAAACCGTAGGCTACACATGTGAGATATGTGTAAGCTCATGAGATGATGTCATCGCGGTTGGGTGCATCATGACGTTATCACTTACTTTTAGATCACCACTTTCTCTCATTCACGTTTGCGAGACACTGTTGTTTCACAGTTGTACTTCAAATAAGATCGTGAAAACTTGGAGAAGATCTGGGCTTATAGACACGGTTTTCACAATATTGGTATCAGAACTTTTGAGAGGACCAATTGATTTCGATTTATTGTATTGAAAAAATAAAGAGAGCCTTCCTCTATAATTTTATATTATACATAAGAATGATCCTGTATGTTTCTTTTATAGTAAATGAAATATGAATATACTGCATCATAATCAGCTTGAATCGATAATGAAATAAATTAATAAATATAAATCATGGTATAAGTTTGCTAAATCCCCTAGCAAATACAAAATATAACAAAAATATATAACATAAATATATAAATAACATAAATATATAACATAAAAGTTATATATTTGTATAGTTACATTACTATTATAATATTTTATTTTTGTGTTATATTTATGTTATGTTAAAATGTTAAAATAATATTCTCAGAATATTCTGAGAATATTCTAGGAATGTTACAGTAATATTCTGAGGATATCATTTTTGCGAAATATTACATACAGAGTATCGAAAAAAGTAAAAATATTGAATTCCCGAAAGATTTTTTTTTTTATAGATGCGAATTTGATTTGTGATTGGGGTTTTATTGGGGTATAATAGGAATGTTTAAACATTCATGCGATTTTTCCCTTCATGCATGGAACACTGTCACGTGCACAAAAGTACTCAATAAATATTATTCAATTTATCACTGATAATAATCTCACAATTATGTTTTGATAATTTTAAAATTGCTTCCATATATCATGTATTTGCAAATTATTTTACATAAATTATGATTCTTCACGTTATACTCCTCTCAGAATTGAGAAAATAGAATTTGCATCGATTTGATATCGATATTAAAGTGATATATTGCTTTATGTTACAGGCGTCTATGGACTTACCTCCAGATAAAGCAAAACTCTTGAAGCAATATGATAACGAAAAAAAATGGGATATTATATGCGATCAAGTAAATATATTTTTTTATTTTATTTATGATAATTTCAAGATAAAATTGTAATAAATGTTATATTGTTTTTATTGAAAAACTTTGTAATATTATATTAATTGAGACTTATAGTTATATACTCAAGTTATATTTAAGTTCACAACAAAATATTTATGTTTGCAGGAAAGAGTACAAGCTAAAGACCCACCGTCCCATTATCTAGCGAAGTTACGCACTTATCTGGATCCCACGGCATCACGAAGCCATCGAGTACGTTGTTTTATTTTTTTTTTTAACAATTTTTTATATTTTTTACATTTTTTTAAATATTTTGAGATCATTTTATGTATGTTTAAGTTTTTATACATATGACAATATAATTTATTTAATCTGAAATAATCAACAATTGTAAAATAAACATTGACTACATTTAGCAGAAAAAGCAGTTTAGTAAGCGTTATACTGTTGATTGAATTATTCTTTTAGATCTGTGCTGAAATAGAACTATTCCTCTAGATCTAAAAGTATAATCCCTATAATCATCGCAAAGTGCTTATTAGGCTATTTTTTTTCTGCTGAATGCGGCCAATTACGCCGTGTAAGAATTCGTCCGCCGCGCACATCTCCGCTGTAAACAACTGCTGCTGAGACTTAAGCTTCTTCACTTCAAATTTCAAAGATCTCAGTCAGCCATTCTGAATAAATTCCAAAATGACAGGAACAGTATTTATTTTAAATACATGCTTGATACTCATTACCAATACATGCATATACTCATTACTATTTAACGAGCGTAAATGTAATTGTTTGATAATTACATGTTAGTCTATTAACGTATATCAATCCATAATACTTAACATTAAATGTGTAACATGATTGATATAATTTTGATTGTTTTTCTTTATATAAACCTTCTTTAAGATAATAATTATATATCTGTCTGCAAGAAATTATCAAACGGATACTAATGATTATACAGTCGTATCGTTTCCTTATGTTCTTCCAGAAAAGAAAAATGGTCGGAGAATCTACATCAACACAAGTATTACGAGACTTGGAGATATCCTTACGCACAAATCACATCGAGTAAGTCACTCTAGATATTATTTAATTATCATAATTTATTTACCAATTATTAATTTAATTAATTCTATCAAAAATATTTAAAACAAACTTATTATTTATTTTGATTAATTGCGATTTTGGTATTTTTCCCTTAAATGTTGTCTATAATTGATAGTTCTAACTTTTAGTAAAAGTAAATGAATTTGAACTCTTGCAATTTAAAATTTTTGTTACATTAATTTTTGTAATTTGAGATATAGATTAAGAAAAAGAAAAAAAGATTGAAATTATATCTACTTATATTATACATTTATATTATACATTTTTTGTACGTAGTTATATAGTTAATCAATCGTTATATATTAGTTAATATTAGTTAATATTAGTTAAATATTAGTCGTTAATTATGTAAGTAATCTTACTAGTAAACTTCAAGTTTCATTTATCATAATATCAGCTTTTCGAAAACCTATATTCTGAGCTGAATAATATTATAGATGGGTGAGAGAGTTCTTGGACGAAGAAAATCAAGGCTTGGATGCTTTGATAGACTATCTCAGCTTCAGATTATTAATGATGCGGCATGAACAGAGGCTCTTAGAATGTCACACAAGTTCGGAGGAAAAACTACAAACTAGTAAGTAATTGACTAAGAAATCAAAAGAAAAAAATCTGAAAATCTATCGTAGCGTATTAGATAATTATGAGATAAATTATATTTATCGCACACTAGTCTGTTAGAAAATTTGATAACAAGCACAAGACATTTCTATCTATAAATTATGTAATACGAATAAACAGTTCAGTATATCAGATCTCTTTAAATCTTACAACTTTTGTCTGAAACTTTTTCAAAAACATCATCCTGCTAAATAAATCGAGATGTCTTTTTTGAACACTATAATAAAAATCATTAGAATAAAATTTTTCTAATATATTTTTAAAAAATAAATGTTAGTATTCTTATAATAGACTGAATTATCATAAATAAGAAAATAATCAATAATAATAAACGCAGCGGGTACCGGCGATATGTCAACATTAAACAACGGATGCCTAAGACCGTCTCTTCATGAACTTAAAGATAGTCCTGGAGTTAAAAGAAGATCTCGACATGTAGCACGTTTAAATATGGGTGAAGCAAAGGATGATATTCATGTTTGTATACTATGCATGCGTGCCATCATGAATAATAAGGTAAATGAACAATTCTAGAACAAGTAGCTTTAAGATATCCTGTATTTGTAAAACACAAAAAAATTACTCTGAGATTATTATGTAATAGAGATTATTATTGTAATTATAGAGAAACAGATCCTGTAAATTATGAATGTAAATTCTTATAAGTTTTGCATAAACTTGTATATTTTCAAATTAAATCAAAATTAAATGAACATGTATTATTTTATGTACTACTCTCAACTTAATTGGATTCTTTTATATTTTATTTTAAAAGTGATTCATGAATATTTTTACCGAAAATAAATTTTTAGATTAAAATCTTTTTGCTTTAAAAATTCAAAATTTTTTGTAAAATAGACATTTTTTTGTATATTCTCTATTTAAAAGATGTTAATATATTTTAATATGTACATTCATGGACTTACGTATAAACGCATCATATTTTTGTATAATAAAATATATCGATTTATTTACAGTATGGATTCAACATGGTTATTCAACATAGAGAAGCTATCAACTGCATTGCATTAAGTTTAATCCATAAGAGTCTGAGGTGAGTTATGCATTATCTATTAGCTATTGTTTATTTCAACAGAAAATCCATGACATTGTAAACTTACGAATAATGCGTTGGGAATTCAATCATTTATTTTCATTCAAATTATTGCAACTCCTTATCACATCCTCCTTTAATCATATCTTAAAAAGGTTATTATTTAGTTTATTTTCTTATACATATGTTAAACATTATTTTGAATAATCGTTTGTATCAGTAGTTTAATTATCGAAGTATCATCATTGCAACAAATGTATTGTTTTTTTTAGAACGAAAGCTTTGGTATTGGAACTTCTCGCTGCAATCTGCCTAGTAAAAGGTGGTCATGAGATTATTTTATCAGCGTTCGATAACTTCAAAGAAATCTGCTCCGAAAGAAGAAGATTTACGACACTTATGGCATATTTTACGCAATACGATAGCTTCCATATAGAATTTATGGTTGCTTGTATGCAATTTGTCAATATTGTCGTACATTCGGTCGAGGATATGAATTTCAGAGTCCATCTACAGTACGAATTTACGAAACTTGGATTAGATGAATATCTTGAGAAGCTTAGACACACAGAAAGCGAAGATTTGCAGGTTAGTAAATTGGATAAATATTTATAAAATTTTAATAAATAATATATACATTGATTTTAATATGTAAATATTTATACAAATATTTTTGTACGTGTGCATGCGCGAGTACGGACAGAGGCGCGCACGCACACATGTGTGCATGCAAGGAGAAGATGGAATTTGTGAAGAAATGTGTAGCAGAATGAATGTGTAGTAGAAATGGGTGTAGCAGTATGAATATAAGTAAATGTGTGTATGCATATTGTAGAAAAGTTGAGAATATAAATGTAAATGTGTGCGTTTTCTAGTCAATTCTATTAGAAGGAAAAATAAGGTTGAAATTTTTTGTTTTTCTTTTTATCACATTTTTGTCACTTGATAATGGTCCGTTATTGCAAATTTTATTGGGAGGGATCAATTTATCTATAAATAGGGTGACCAAATCGTTTGAGAAATTTCAAATAAATACATCTGTACCCTATCTATAAATCAATTGTCTATAATTTTATTTGTATATATTGCATTACACATATTTTAAATTGTACACAAAGATATTGCCTACAAACATTATTGCGCACATGTAGCTTTGTACGACTGTATTACATATACATATACGTTACATACACGACCGTATTGCACTCAGCATATTGCACACGATCATATTGGATACATGATCATATTGTACATATCAAATAGAAAATATAAAATAGAAAAACTGTATTAATACGCAAAAAATTAGAAATTTATGTAACTGTATAATTATTAACTATATCATTACTTCTTCAATTTCTGGATACTCCGAAAACTTTTTGAACGATAATATACAAGTTTTGTCCATCTGAAATTTCTCTATTATCTTTAGAGATACAAAAATATTTTACTCAGGAAAGTTCAGTATAGCATCGCTATACAACACTATAATCAACCCAAAAATAATATCCAAATAGATATCCAGGAGATACTTCAAGTAGATAAAATTTCTGCCTTATATATATATTTGCGTATATTTTATTTTCCTATGTTTTCGAAAAGAATTTCTGGCAGAAAAGCTTATTTTCCATGACCTTCTTTAGAAAGAGCATTATGATAATAATGACTTTATAAATATGTTGAATATATCAATGAATGAGCATATCTCCGGCAAATCAATATTCTAAAAATGGCAATCGTACTCATCACGCGTGCAAAGTATTAGATGATGTGGGATAGAGCTGAAGGAAAAATTATTTAAGATATGAAACATAAAATAACGAATCTCATTTTGCATTGAAAGTACCGGATATGCATACAATGTATGCATTGTGTACATTTTTTCTCGTATCTAATATAATCTATGTATGTGATACATACATATGTGCAAAATATATATACATAATGTCCATAGGCAATCATTCTGTATATAATTAAGAATGTGTGCAAACGAAACTGTAAGTAATCGTTTTGTAAGCAAATAGGACCTTCCCTCCCATCACTATATCATTGTATCACACTTATATTTTATAAAAAATAATAGTTTTATTAAAAGAGTATGATAGTTTTTTCTATTTATGTAATACAATTAATTTTTAACGATACTCTATAATGTATATGACGATATTAATTATTCATATGTGTAATAAATTAACAGCGTAATTAAAAATCGAGATATAAAAATAAAATAGATATTATAATAATAATAATAATGATGATGATGGTGATGATGATAATCATGATGATGATGAAAATGATGATAATGATGATGATGATGATATGATAATGACAATAATGATGCATGAACGTTTTAATAAATGAATGGAAACAATATATGTATATCAGAAGAATAAATATTAACATTTTCGGTCAGTGGACGGAATTTTATGCTTAATAGTAGTTTTGTGAGTTTTGTATTTTTTGTCTTTATATTTTTATATAATTACCATATGTGTTATCCTTTTCTTTAGGTACAAATCTCAGCTTATTTAGATAACGTATTTGATGTAGCTGCCTTAATGGAGGATAGTGAGACAAAGACTGCAGCATTGGAAAAAGTAGCAGAATTAGAAGATGAACTTGGTCATGTAAGTGATACAAACTTTTCCTACATAACATTATAAAGCTATTACAGAGAAGAAAAGCAGATTAAAGCATATAATATGTGTGTTATTTTTTGTTATTAATTTATTATCATAATTGATTGCATTTGACATAGGCGCATGATCGTATGGCAGAATTAGAAAGAGAATCATTGGCGAAATTGGCGGAACTGGAAACGGAATTGGGTGCGATCAAAGTGGAATATAGCGAGGCATTGGAAGCACGTAGATTAGTAGAAGAAGAACTTGCAGCCTTGAAGAGACAGAGACAGGATTCTGCGCGAAGGCAGAGCGTCCTGGAAAATAAAATCATTGAGCTTGAAACTCTCACGGGAACACTTACAAAAGGCTCATCAGGTATTATACTTTCTAAATTAAAGTATCTAAAATGTAAAATAAGCGATGAAACAAGATTTCCTACAAATACTTATCGATCTTCCAGCTGCTAGTGTACGAAATGGTACCACGACCAGTAATTCAGATAGCATTACATCCGAAACATTTACTCCGACATCATCGCCGACGGAATATCAAGCACTTCCAGCGACTCCTGCGCCACCACCTCCACCTCCACCACCGTGTCCACCGCCTCCTCCTATGGCGCCGCTTTCTCCAGAAGATCATAAGTTACCACCGCCTGCCCCGATACCTCCACCACCTGCTGGCATGATGCAAGCACCCAATGGAGCAATGACTATTAAACGAAAAGTATATATTTATATTGTGACACATTACATTGCATCAAGAGTAAAAATATTGACTGATTATCTGCTATTGAATACTTAGATCAAGTATATTCATTAAAATTATCGAGTGAAATGACAAAATACAATAGTCTTTCATGATAAAATTAATTATTAATAAATTAACAAATGAATAATGATTTTTCAGCAAGAAAATTATTATATTTAATTTCTTAAAAATTTTAATCGCATATCTTAATCTTACATTTTTTTGAAATTGTTCTTGATATGAAATGACATTTTCTCATTTAGGTCCAAACAAAATATAAACTTCCTACACTTAATTGGATTGCTCTAAAACCTAATCAAGTGAGAGGTACTATTTTCAATGAATTGGATGACGATCGTCTGCACAATCAAATCGACTTCTCTGACTTTGAAGAACGATTTAAGATTGGTATGAGTGGACATGTAAGCAATGGTAATAGTGAAATCGATGGACTTCAAAGTTTCCCTAGTAAACGATTTAAGAAACCCGAAAATGTCTCACTTTTGGAACATACAAGATTGCGAAACATTGGTAAATAAACTTAATATATAACACTTGTTGACATGGTACATAAAAATAGGCTCATTTCTCATTTTTCTTCCTCTTTTAGCTATATCGCGCCGAAAAATGGAAATGCCAGTTGAGAAAGTAATAATGGCAGTAAATGCTCTTGACTTGAAAATTCTTTCACTTGAAAATGTCGAATTATTGCAACGTATGGTACCTACAGATCAAGAAGTATGTTTATCTAATAAATATTATCATTATTTATTAAAAGTTTGCTTTCTTATAGATATAAATAACATAAATGAATTTCAGATCAAGGCTTATCGCGAATATATTATAGAAAAGAAAAATGTTAACTTGTTAACAGAAGAAGATAAATTTTTGATGCAACTCGGTAAAGTTGAAAGGATATCCACCAAGTTGTCAATTATGAACTACATAGGAAACTTTTTCGACAATTTACATCTCATTACGCCACAAATACACGCTGTGATATCTGCATCCAGTTCAGTTAAGAGTTCAAAGAAATTAAGATCAGTATTAGAAATTATTCTTGCTTTTGGTAATTACTTAAACAGTAGCAAACGAGGTCCCGCATACGGCTTTAAATTACAAAGTTTAGATACATTATTAGATACGAAATCGACTGATAAAAGGATGTGCCTTTTACATTATATTGTTGCTACGATACGAGTTAAGTTTCCAGAACTCATTAATTTTGAATCTGAATTGATGTACATTGACAAAGCTGCAACAGGTACGGTATTTTATTTGATTATCTATTAAGATGTTAATATTTAACGAATAGAATTAGATAATAAATCTAATACTAAAAATATATAATAACTATAAAAAATATAATTACTGTAAAAAAGATTTATTCTTTGGTAATTAAAACAGTAATTATATAAACAAATACAGAAATAAACATTAATGAAAAAGCATTTAATATAAAATTTGATTTATATTCCATTCGTTGGTTATTTTAAATATTTTATTTATATTATGTTTATATTGTAAAACTACATATTAATTTCAGTTTCACTAGAAAATATTACGACTGATGTTCATGAACTAGAAAAAGGTATGGATCTTGTACGAAAGGAATTTGAATTGCGTGGTAAAGAAAAGCACAATACGGTATTGCGTGACTTTTTGAATAATTCTGAAGAAAAATTACGTCGTTTGAAACTTGATGCACGTACCGCCAGTGAAGCATTCCGAGAATGTGTTGAATTCTTTGGAGAAAGTCCGAGACAAGCTGATGCCAATACCTTTTTCTCCCTCCTTGTTAGATTCGCGAGAGCATTTAAGGTTAATTCAAATTTTTAACACATATTGAATCGTAACTTGTTAAAAATGCAATGATATATATTAAATAACAAAACATACGAATTTACAGGCAGCGGATCAAGAAAATGAACAGCGTCGTAGATTAGAAGCTGCAGCAGCAGAAGCTTTAAATACTTCCGAAGAAGTTATAAAACGTAATAAATTAAATCAGAAGAAACAACAGGTATGTCATGTTTTACTTTTATTTACACGTGCAAACTTATAACATTTATGGAATATTAATTTCAAAATAAACACATTTTTTTCATTTAAATTATTTATATATTTATAAAGTATGCTTGTGAAATATCAGCTTAAAAATAATCTTCTAAGGCTAATGATCACTCATTACTATTATTATATTTTAAATAGATAAATAATGATAGAACCGACTTGTAAAATACCGAAAATTTTTTTGTTTCGTTAATTAATAAATAAGTAACCACATATCTAGAAATGAATTAGGCATAACCAAAAACAAAATAAGGTAGTTTACAATTATATAATTGTTAAATTAATAATATAGAAAGAAATGATTTAATTCTTATTACATAACAGATAATTTCTTAGTATATTTTATAAATCTAGTCTATTTTATTCAATTGATTATAAATGTTTTATTAACAAATAGTTTTATATAAATATATTCTGCAAGAATTTTTATTATATGTGTTTTCTCACTTTTGATATTACAATCTGAAGTAGAAGTAGTGAGCGATCAAGGGTCTTAATATATGTTTTTTATTATTTATATTTTTTGCTGTCTATTATTATTTAGATACTTTTTCTTTTATTAAATATATATCTATTTATTAATAATTTATTATTATAGCTATAATAATTACAATTTTTCTTGAAATTATATGTTATATCATTTATTTATATTTCTCTAAACTTCTCTCCTACAACATCAATATGCTACAGATACATCTAAAATTAACATCTATTAGATATCATACTACAATTTATAAAAGGAAATAAATAAATCATACACACATGCAAAGGATGATTCAGAGTAACTATGCACTGCGATTTTCTCAAGTAAAATTCAAGATAAAAAGAATGGAAATAGTATAGATAATTCATAATAAATTATGAATTATTTTTATATAAAGATTTTTTATTTTTATATATGCATAGAATGTTCAATAATTAAAGAATTTTCTAATTATATTCAATTATAATTATATAAAATACATAATGCATAACTATAAAGCATTTTTATATATTCTAAGAATATTTTCAAAAATCTATTTCTGTTCATATAAATATTTGTTTATAAAAGCTATAAAAGCAATAATTTAAATTTTACAATATTTGCCCATCATATATCGAATGTATTTTCAATTTTGTAATGTTAATTCCAGATTCATAATTATTCGAAAAATGTAGATGCACGAAAAATATAGATCATGTTCAATGTAGATTGATGCATATATACAAAAACCGTTAATTTAATAACATTAAGTTCATTTTATATTTTACAATTTTGACTTCAGATTTGTGATCGGCCACAAAAACCTAATAAAAAATACACTGTACATGATTCAATGTAATAAAAATACACTGTACATGATTCAATGAAAAAAAAAAATCTATCCAAAAAGTCGCGATATTGCTTCCAAATCAATGACATATTTCATATCATAGTATATGTTAACATGTGTGCGCGCGTGTGTGTGTGCGTGTGTGCATCGTGTGCGCGCAAGATGTCCCAAAACTAATGATAAGTATTTTAATAATAGATTCTTTCTGTAACATTTTAAGACGAAAATTCTAATACTTGAATACACTTATAGAATATGTGTATTTATATATTGATTATTTATTATTATTGATTAAAACTCGGAAGATTCTAAATATGTATATATATTTTCCTATAGCAAAATTTTCATAGTTTAAGAAAAAACTCTGGTGTGCTCAAAAGATTAAGATGAAATTTTGCATAATCGTATTATTTCTTTTTACATATTTAAATCATTATTTATATCAAGAAAAAATTTTTTTCCTTAATTGACTTTTATTTTTGTATAGATTTGTTTACTTTTTATCAAATGAAAATTATATATTTAATATAATTATTTTAATAATATATTCTGAGATATAAATACTTGTATCTTTATATTAAAATTAATAAAAGAGCTAAGAGAAATAAATAATTATTTACATTACTTTTACATTTAAGCTATTAAGTTATTATCCTAAAATTCTTAAAATTTTAACTCACAAGATTTATTAAAAATTATACAATTATAAGTATATTATATATGCATGCAATACGAGTATGTGAATAATTGAGAGAGAGAGAGAGAGAGAGAGAGAGGAGGAAGGAAGGAAGGAAAGAAAGAAGAATGAATGAATAGAATGAATGAATGAAATGAATGATTTCAATAATTAATAAAAGAAGATATAAAACCTAAAGACAATTTTTTTTGTTGTCATGTTGTGAATTAGCATGACATTTTAAAGGGGTAATTATGAACAATTAATTATTGGTTTTGTATTATTTCTCACGTTGTTTTATTAATTATTTTCGTGTTTCAATTAATTATTTCATTAGATAAACATTATAGATTTTATAAACCTGTTTTTTATTTGTTACATATTTATTTGGATTTAAAGTCATCGAAATTTTGCTGTAACTCGAACAAGAGTTTGTTACACCGCCACCTTAATGAACTGGAACTCAGAACATAACAATGTAGAAACAATTCACACCATGTAAGTCTGTTCTCACTCACTTCCTTGTATTAATACAGTGATTTTCAGATAATGTGCCGCGAAAGGTTACTAAATGCACCGAGGATATTAAGTATATTTAAAAATGGAAAAATATATACATTTGCGAATGAATCAATATCGTAATCATGTGGTCTTAAAACAATACAGCTATGTTTTTCTATAAATAATTATTTTGACATAAATTAAAATAATTTCTAATCTGTTTCACCCTGTATATATAATTTATGTGTGTATGTATGTGTGTTTATGTATATGTATATATGAGCGAGCGCACCATGCACATACACAAACGTACATATACATATATACTAAATTCATACTTCATACCTGATCCTTATTCATATCTTTATCAATAAATGCGTTTATTTTTGAAATTTTATAGCATATTTAACATAAACTATATGCTAAATATACATTTAAAAGCGTATTTTTCGACAAAAATAAAATATGAATTCACGTATTCATGTATTGTACTAACAATACATCGGAGTATGAATTAGCATATTTTGTATTGATGTTGCTTGAGAGAATTTTTCTATCATCCGATTTTTTAATTTTCATTTTATTTAAATTTCATATATATCGTATAATATAATTAATACATAATTACATAATTTATGTATAATTAAAATATAAATATTTTATATTTTTCTCAATTTAGGTTTAAATAAAATAACTTTTAATGCATCTTGTATTTACTTAATAAATATATACAGAGCATATAATTTTGATATTGTGAAAAACTTTGCATAACAATAATTTACAAGTTTTAGAAATATTTTCTGTAATAATTATCATTCTATTATATATTATCAGGATGCTGTCATAAACGAACTGAAGAATAAAACACGATTAGTACAAGAGAAGAAATTATTGCAACAGGATGAAGTATACAATGGTGCCCTAGAGGATATTCTTCTTGGTCTCAGATCTGAACCATATCGCAGAGCAGATGCAGTAAGACGTAGTCAACGTCGGCGTATCGATAATCATAGACTGTCGCGCACTGCCGAAGAATTTGAACTCTAATTTATTTGCATTGCCGATTCATACGTATCTCATGACAATTCTATTCTAAGGAACAAATTTGCCTTGCAATATTAAAACTTTATTATACTTTAGCTTTATATAATAATAACGAGAATACGGCAGAAAATACCAATGATTTAAGAACACTGTTGAAAATATTAACAGTGTGCACAAATGAATAACGACTTGTATATTCTCTTAATTTGTAAAAGCATTTTACTTGTACATTTTGTTATGGGATAAATCTGAAATTAAGCGACAATACGTAATTCTATACGCTTTTGTTCTTGAATGACATTAGTGGTGCTAAGTTCAAATAATGAAATTTACATGATTTTAAAATGTACATTTTTCAGATATAGTATTTACAATGAGGCAATAAGTAAAAAACGCGCAATATTGAGATAAGTATGAATATATGATGATCTTTCTATAATTCATATATGAATCTCATAATTAAAAACATCTGAATTTGTTCCAAGTTAGCATAATATTATATTAGTTAAAGCACGTGATTGCATCTCTAGATAATTCTTTTTACTATTTCTTGACATTTATAGAATTTGCTTATATTTCAATTATGTTATTATTTTTCTTTCATTTTACTTCGACATTTATGTAAACACGTAAAACCAATTAAATTTACTTGTTGTTGTTTGTTATATGTCAAAATATTTATAATTTTTATATCAACTTATTGTCTCTATATATAATTAAATTAATTGTTTATACATTATATCTTGTAATTGCTTAATATCAAATAGACAAGATTATATAACTCTTAACGTAAGTTTGCGTGTAAAATTAGTTCACATCAATCACAGGATAGGTTAAGTTTTAATAAATCTGTGACATGCATTTGTGACATTCCAACAATATATAACAAGTTGAGGAAACTTGCTATGTGGAATTCACATGTTCTACCAGTTTAAAAGTCAATGTAAGATTTAAAATAAATATTTATACTTTCATATTACAAATTGCAAAAGTGTAGTTTTACACTAAGGTAAAACCAGAATCATACATTATAAAAGTAATAGTTAACTACACGTGATATTTCTTACGAGCGATATAACACATTATAATACAAACAAAAGTAAAATCTAAGTTTTGTTTCAGACTTTTGAAAAAAAGATTTCAAAAATGACATTGCAATATACTTGTTACATTCCTTAAAATTATATACGCACATTTCTTTATAAATATATAATACGTAAATCTGTAAAATTACACGAGAACATTTGTACTTTGTCTATACTTATTGTAGTTTAACAATTGACGTATGTCAAGCTGAGAGGAAAAATAAAAATTATACGAATCTAAAGTTTGAATACACATCGATTATCGCTATCATTTGTTAAAATTTTTATTACCAAAATGTATAGGAAAAAACTAGTAGTTCTATAAGCTTTTTCCTAATTGAAAACATATCGCAAACTTTTGAAAGAATAAAGTTATATTTCTACTTTTGTACGTTTTTGATATTATATATTATTAGAACAAAATGTAAATATAGCTGTAATATAGAAAATAGTAATGAATATAGTAATGAATAATATGAAATTACTATTATTACTTGTAGAATAATTTCCAATGTGATGTTTATAAATCAAATATTTTCTGTATTGTATTATTTAACACACATATTGCTCATTACCAATATGTGACAAAGAAAAATCGCTATTTCCATCCTTTAGAATTGAAATATTAATCTATTTTATATATATTTTTGTGCAAAAAAGTATTTGTACGGTATGTATACACACATTTGCATTTCAGAAAAAAATTGTAAAAATTGTCTATTGTATAAAACCAGATATATAAATAAATGTAACAATTACTAAGTCAATAAAGAATGATGTACTCATTTATTAGTATATAAAATCAACGTATATGTACAAAATGCATTTTTTAAGTATATTGCTTAATTAATATGTGTGTGTGTGTGTGTGTGTGTGTGTATATGTATATATATA